ATCACTGCCTTGCTATCCTCCTAGGCCTCAAACTCAGCGAGTCTCAAACACTTTCCCCTACACTGGCTCCTTCTCTTGTGTAGATGGCTCCATTATCATCCACTAGGCCACTATAACTGGTTTCAGAAAACTATCCAGAACCACCCAGGATTTTTCCCTCCTTCCTTGGCCTCTAGAGCCATTCATTATCAAGGCATGTCCATATTGGCACCGAAATGTTCTTCCAATCCACCTACTACAACTTTAACCTAAGCTGCCATTACCTTTCACAAAATATATTTGACACCCCCAAGTTCGTCCCCTCCACGCACTTCTACTTTTTTGTTGTTTGTTTTGGGGGTGGATGGTTTTGGTTTTTTGAGGCAGGGTTTCACTGTATATCCCTGGTTGTCCTGGAACTGGCTGTGTAGACCAGGCTGGCCTCAAACTTACTTACAGTCCCTTTAGTTCTGGGACTAAAGGCATGTGCCACCACTGCCTGGCTTAATGCTTCATGAATTTGCACATCATCCTTGCACAGGGGCCATGCTAATCTCTCTGTATCATTCCAATTCTAGTACGTGTGCTGCCGAAGGGAGCACATACTTCTACTCTTTAGTCCCTCCCATCCACTTTCCATGTGCACCTATGAAAGCTTTGAAACATTAGCACCTGAGCACATCACTTCCCTGTGAATACGCCCTTGATGGATCCTGCATGCCCTCAGGGCAGTCCCTTGGCTAGCCTTATTCCTCCACTCCTTCCCAGTACCTGTCCCCTAATCAGTATCTGTTTGCATGCCTTTGCTGAGACCAGACCTTCTAGCCGAACCCACCCCCATGTTTTCTAGGTCTATGAGCCTTAGTAGACATAATTCTAAGTCCCTTCCCTTGGGACAGGATGGGGCCTTGAATTGGGCACTGCTAGTACATTTCCTATGCCTAGAGTTCCAGAACTGTACCTGTCTTCCAACTTAAAATAGTCAAATGACAGCCATCACAAAAGCACGGAGAAAGGTAAACTGAGTATTTGTGTGCATCGGGGCAAGGGATTAACTCACTGTTTTATAACCCATGCTTCCCTTCTGGACTTGGAGTGAGTTGAGGGACATTCATATATAACTCTGGGAAGAAGACTTCAGAGACAATGCTCCCTCACTATAGGACCATGGCTGAATCACCACCTCTCTGGGTCTCCACTGACTCAACTACAAAAATGAGCTGGCTTCTACCCTAGGCTATGCACTGAAATCATCTGGGAATCTTTTGTTACTGTTGTTGAGACAGGATCTCACTATGCAGCCCTGGATGGCCTGGAACCTAGAGATCCTCCTGCCTCTGCCTGGGATTAAAGGTGTGCACCACTACACCTGTCCCTTGTCTGGGAATCTTGTTTGAAACCAGATTCCTGGGTTCTAACTCCAAGACCCTGGAGCTCTGAGAAGGACATTTATTCTTCAAGGTCAATGAAGGATTCTAATGCTTACTGAGGGTAGGAAACCTAGAACCAGCCAGTGTCTAGGGACTTTTGCAGCACTTAACTCTTTGAGTCTCTAAAGATGTAATCAAGTAAGAACAAACCAGCCCCTTCTGCTACTTTCATTGGCTGTTCTCTCACTCCCCACAAAACAGCTGATCCCAGCACCAAGGAGGCAGAGGCAGGCAGATCTCTGTAAATTCAAAGCCAGCCTGGTCTATAGAGTGAATTCCAGGACAGTCAGGACTGTTACACAGAGAAACCAAACCTTGTCTCGAAAAACCAAAAGCCAAACCAAACAAAAAAACAAACAAACAAACAAACAAAAAATAGCTCTAACATCAAGTCCAACTCCTCCGGCTGGGTTAGGCCCCAAGCTTTTTCCAACCCCCAGCATGTGGGAAGACATTCTAGGCCTCAGCCTTGAGGATTACAATAGGACTCCCAAATTCCTGTATGTATAAACCTCTACTCGGAAGCCCTCCACTAACCTTCCCCATGCCATCTCCAGTATCACACTGGGTTATCCCAGTGACTCAAGGAAGCCTTGGGCTTCATCAGCCTAGAAAAGGAGCACAACACTCTCCACCAGGAACTCGACAGAATACCAAAAAGAAAGGCCCGGAGGTAATTCAGAGCTTTTCGCATGGATAAGACATAATTATTATTTTCACACCACCTATCCCCTGCTGCTCTGGATAGGCCACTGGGACCAAAGGCTGGTGATTCAATAAAAGCCTTCAGGAGTCTGAAGGAGGAAGTCAACAGGCACATGAATATCTTAACCTGTGGACTAAAATGTCTCTAACCCTGTAACTGAAGTTTAGGTCTCTGTCTCTCTGTGTATCTCTGTCTCTCTCTTTCCCTCCTTCCTGCGCTCCTTCTTATACACAAACACTCCAACCACCAATCCTGCCCATTCTGAGCCAATTATAGGCAATTCCTGTGGAGAGAGAAGCAAGTCACTTGTGCCTAGCCTTGGGCTGGCTGTGTAGAGGGGAAGGCGGGCCTCTCACAAATGCATGCTACTGTGAATCACAGGGCCCAGTGCCCGCCTTGTCAGGACTTGAGAAATTCCTCCACCTCTTCTTCAGAAGGGTTTTCTCTTCATACTTTATTAGGTCCTCAGTGGCCGAGGGCTTTGCAAACAAGAATCTTACAGATTCCTAGATATCATTCTCTAGATGAGGGGAACTGAGGCACCAAGAACAGGAGGAGCCATTCATTCAGGTCACACAGTGAGTAAGTAAGGAATGGCTAGATGGGAGATTAAGTCTCTCCCTGACTTCCTTTTCATTCCTAATCTTTCCTTTTTATTAAAATAAAAGACTCCCACTGGACAGTGGTGGCACATGTCTTTGATCCCTAGTGATCAGGAGGCAGAGGCAGGCAGATCTCTATGAGTTCAAGGCCAGCCTGGTCTCCAGAGTTAATTACAGGACAGCCAGGGCTACACTGAGAAACTCTGTTTCAAAAAACCAAAAAAAAGTGTAAAAAAAATAAAACACCCATCATGTCATTATAGAGGCAAGGACTTAACTGAGGAAAACACTACTGATTTGGGAAGAAGAGAATAGTTTGGGAAAGGTACTGTGCTTTGGAATTTGGAAGAACTGGTGGAGTAGAAAAGCAAGCTCAGTATCAACCCCATGTTGACTAGAGAGGGCAGAGACCAAGGGTCAAGACCTTCCTAGCTACTGAATCCCAGACAAAGAGTATTTGCTGGGTGGGAACTCAGTGTCCTCTTAGGCAATAGTTACAGAGGGCCTACTGTGTGTTCCCTTACCATCTATTCAGACATTTGTTGAACAAGGATTTATTGCATATTTGCCTTGTACTAGGCACTACACTAGTTCCTTAGGTATACAATAATGAACAAACCAGGCACAAGCCCCTTGCCCGAAAGGAGCGCACATTCTGTCACAGGAGCAGCAAAACCAAGCAGACACATACAAGAGGGTAGTTTCAGACTGTATTAAATGTAAGGACAGACACACACTGGCAGCTGTGATGGAGATTCACAAGAGGCCCTACTTAAAAGTGGTCAGGGAAGGTCTCTCAGAGGGGACATTTGAGCTGAGAACAGAAAGATGAGGAGCAAGCCAGGTGGAGGGCTGAGGGAAGGGCTAGCAGGCAGCAGGCAAAGCAAATGCAAAGGCTCTGCAGTGGGAGAGTTGTGGGTGTCTGGGGATGTGCAGGGAGGAACTAAAATAAAATAAGTATGTCTGATTAGCCTCCTCTACACAGCATGTGTCCAGGGGAGTTTGGAAAGGCAGTAGAAGCAACGAGCAGGGCAGGCCATTAAAGGGTTGTCAGCTGGCTATCTCCAGTTCACGAGGGGGAGGGGGTGCCTAAAATCTCCCAGAGGTTCCATAACTATCCAAAGAACAGACAGCAGTGAGAGCCACTGCCTGTGCTTTACAATTCACTGTTACTGTTACTGTTACCTGGTACTGAGCCATAGTACTAGTGACCTGTGGAAGCTGAGATAGGAGCCCTGGAAGCAGCTAGATGCACGCTCACCACCTCCTTCAGTCCCAATGAAGACAGGGCAGATATTCACTGCTTTCCCTTCAAGGCCCGTGTGAAACTATCCTAGAGACTCTGCTAGGCTGCTCAGATACTCAGGCTATGAAAAGGCCCATCCAGGTCTATGGCCCGTCTGACCTAGAGTTGTTCCACCATTGCAAACCCAAGCAACAACCATCCTGATTATCTTTTCAAACAATCTGCTGGCCCTGAAGCTCTCCCTTCTGACCTTTCTGCTCTCTTCCTACCTACCAGCCCCTTGAGCCCTTTCCTTCAGGCTCATCTCCACCTTTCTCTCTCATCAGTACCTCCTGTGCCGCCCTTCCCTTGTACTTTGGCCACAAACACCTAGCAAAAGCACAATCTAGGATCAGTCCACCATCTCCCTCTCTCTCTTTCTCACACTTCAGGGCTACTGAATAGTACAAGGGGAAATCACATAAGTAGAAAGCTTAGCATTTATGTCTTGCTTCAGTTTGGGGAAACAGAAAGACCACAGATTTTGGACTCTGCTCTGGTTTTGAATCCAGGCACCATAATGACAGTATGACCTTGGACAAGTTACTTCTCAGAGCCTCAGTCTGCACCCCTAAAAATGTGGTTGATGAAACTCACTTCAGATGGCTCCTGAAGCTGAAACTAGAACCCTTGTAAAAGTACCCAGTTCAGTGCCATGCACAAATGTAGGCACTTAGTTAATGGGAGACTTCTCTCCTATTCCCCTAACCACATCCCCACTGCTGCCTTCAAATCCTGCCCCCTTTTCTTGGGAGTGCTTCCTCTCCTGTTAGCCTCAGCAGTTAGAAGAGAAAGGACTCTTAAGGATTGAGGGCGCAAGGGACAGAGAAGAGCAAAGGCTGAAAGAACTGGACGGAATGCTGCAGGAGGGAAAAGGAAGAGGTATTGTGGGAACTCAAGGGGTTAGGGTGAGCATATCGGCCCTAAGCCCTAGAACAAGAACCCGTTCCCAGTACCAGGCCCGTGGCCCAGGTTCCCATGCCGTCTGGATCACTCACCAGGCCGAGGCTGCGAACCCTCCAGGTGGTAGGAGAAGCGCAGGGCCCGGTGGTGCTGTGGACTAGGGCCGCAGGGCAAGACCCGGGAGCTTGGAAGAGCTCCCAGGCTGGCGTCCGAGGGTCCCACAAACTGAGGATCCAAAGGCCCTCCAAGAGCCGAGCCTGAGCCCCGGCGCACCGGCAGTCCGGGTTCCAGGGCTCCAGGGTCCGAGTCGGCACAGGCCAGTGGTGCGGCGCCAGGGGTATTCGCCGCCAAGCGTTCGGGAT